AGTGTGTGTGTGTGTGTGTGTATGTGTTTGTGTGTGTGAGAGAGAGAGAGAGAGAGAGGGGGGGGAAAGAATGAATGATAGAAGATAACTTGAAAAGGTACCCACATCCGGGTCCTCATACCTGTGGGGGGCTCACGTTTGGGACGCTGCTGTTGCTGTTACTGTTGTTGTTGCTGTTTGTGGTGATGGTGATGGTGTGGTTGTTGTTATTGTGGTTGCTGTTTTGTGGTTGTTGTGGCTGTTGTGGTGGTTGGCGAGATCTATTTTTACCCAAACATAAAAGCAATTCTTATGTCCTATGCTCATTTTACTTTCTGAGGGCAGTTTCTACAGCCAGACAAAAAGAATTACAATATATCAACACGGAAATCAATGAACTTGATATCATTATGTCTCCAGAAGAAAAGAACAGAACACTTAAAAAAACAAAAAAACAAATGATGATGAAACATACCTTTGTAAGTGAGATATGTTCGAAAAATTGAAGTGAAAGTGCATATTTTGAAGTGAGATTGGGAAAATCTAAAAAGTTAATGTAAGTGATTTACACCTTCATCGACATAATTTATATTGTTTAGTAGGCGGGCTGCTTCGACCGTGATGCGGCATCTAGCAGACTTACTTTACTTTACTTTTATCCACCGCTTATACCCTTTTGGGTGTCGCGGGAAGCAAGAGACGTCTCTCTGCCATAAGCCTGAGAGCTTGGGTCAGGGGGATGCCGTGGGTGGTTAATGTTTCCCTGACTCCATCTATCCAGGTCTTTCTCGTTCGCCCTCTAGCCTTGTTGCCATCGACTTTTTTTTAAAAATGTAGGCACGCTGTGCTGTGTGGTGTGTTGGTAATCGCATGAGATGTCCGAACCATTTGATTCTTTGGTGTTGGATGTGATGCATGGCATCATTTGTGCCCACCATTTCTCTGATTACTGTATTTCTAATTCTAGCAGACAGACAGAGAAAGGCTCGATAAAACGTTGCCCACTTTGTTAACGAATTCTCGTGCTTTCTGTATAAGATGGTGAAGAGCTTTATAGTTCTACCACAGACACCAGTGGAAGTGGGACTGAAACTCTAAAAGTTGATAACGACGATGACGACGATTGATATCGAAAACAGCAACTATTTCGATAACAACACGAATAATAACAACAGCAACGATATCAACATCGAAAAACAACAACGACAACTATAACAACAACAATAACGACAACAAAGACAACAACAGCATCAAATATGATTAAGTCCCTTTGCCC